TTCTTATCTTGATTTTAAACATTCTGTCTATGCTGGGTTAAAATTCTTTTTTTTTTCTTTTTGTTCCTATTTACAATAGTTAGGGGTAAATTTGAAACAATCATAGAAAGTCCACTAATTTCAGTGGCTTATGTAAGGCAGAAATGTATTTATCTGACATAAGAAGTCAGTGGGTCTAGGCTGACAGGACAGCTCTGATTTTGGTGAGAGAGCCTAGGACCCTCGTTATCTCAGAGTGTTATACTCATCTGCCTAATCAAAGCTGATTCAGCGCTATATTTGTGTTCCAGTCCACTGAAGGGGAAAAAAAAAGAGTATAATTCTAGAGAAGATGATGTGCCTTTAACTTAGAGGTGACCTGAAATTTGCATATATTACATTTGCTCACATCCCATTAGCTTGGCCATGTGCCCATATCTAGCTGCCAGAAAGACTGGGAAATATAGAATAGCTAGGTGATCATGTGCCAAGGAAAAGTCAGGTAAAGAATTTTGAAAGGACAACTGTTATTCTGTCACATTCCAATTTCTTTGTATTCAAGTTACAGCTTACATGCCATTTCTTCAAAGAAGCTTTTTCTGAATCTTTAATCAAAAACAGTAATGCTTGTAACTAACAGTTATCCGGCACTTGATATATACTGTGAACCAGACTGTGCTGATACTTTTCAAAATTCTACAAGATTTTGTCCTCATTTCCACAGATGAAAAATGATAGTTCACACAAATTAAGTGATTAAACAAAGATTATAGGACTAGGAACTGTTGGAATCATGATTTCTACTTTTAAACGCTCACAGGGTTTCATTTCATTTTTTTAATGTTTATTTTTGAGAGAGAGAAAGCGCAAGCAGGGGAGGGGTGGGGGGGGGGGCAGGGACAGAGGATCTGAAGCAGGCTGTGTCATGACACGGGTCTTGAAGTCACAAACTGTGAGATCAGGACCTGAGTCAAAGTTGGATGCTTAACCAACCAAAGTTGGAGCCACCCAGGCGTCACTCTTTTTTTTTAATTTTTTCTTATTTAGTACATCTTTTTTTCATCTTACTTTCTTCCCACATTGGGAACTTTCTGTGGCCAAATCTGATTCTTCTTCTAGCCTTCATTGTATATAGCAAAATACTTTGTACGTAGGAGACTTCCCTTAAACAAATGAGTTGTCAGCTAAAATAATTCTGAATTCACAGGTAACATAAATAGTTTAGGTAAAGTATTCATGCCAAATATGTTTTGTATATATATGAAATCAGAATGATAATCTTTACTTACTTTCTTTTCCGTAGGACTGCACTTATATACTTACAGTAGATTACATTTGTCTTTGAAGAAATTAGAATGTGGGAAGAAATTGGAGTGTACAAAGCTAAAGCAAATTTTCTTTTCAAATGCCTATGTTTACTCTTTTCTTTTTTAATTTATTTACTTAAATTTCAGTTGTTAACATACAGTAAGTAGGATAGTGTTGGTTTTTTTTTTTAAATGTTTTATTTATTTCTAGGAGAGAGAGAGAGACAGCGTGAGTAAGGGAGGGTCAGAGAGAGAGGGAGTCACAGACCGAAACAGGCTCCAGGCTCTGAGCTGGCAGTCAGCACAGAGCCCGACGCGGGGCTCGAACCCACGAACCGCGAGATCATGACCCAAGCGAAAGTCGGACGCTTAACCAACTAAGCCACCCAGGCGCCCCAGGATAGTGTTGGTTTTAAGAGTAGAACCCAGTGATTCATCACTCACATATAGTATGGGGGTTGATAAATTAGAATAGTGTATACCTGTTAAATATCAGGCCATGTACAAGGATTTTTTAAAATTACAGAATCAGGAAACCAACTTGACAATAAACTATTTGTAAAAAAAATATAAAATTACCGAATGAGTTTGGGTGGGCAAAATTATACAGGAAGTAATGGGAGATGTCAGTTAATAAAAGAATTGTTGCACGTGTTGTGTATATCCATATTACCGCATGTTAGTGTCAGTTGAACTTGAGGAATGTCTGATAAATTTAATGAAGAAAGAATGCTACAGTGTTATATATATGGTTCCATTTATTTATATATAGTTATTTATAGGTCTGTCTATGTTTGTGAGCACTGAGAAAGGTATGTAAGGATACACACTAACCCATTGATCTTGGCTATTTCTGATGGGTACAACTGGAAGCAATAGTGTAGGGAGTCTAAGCCTGTGAACTTTTTCACATGTGTCCCTTCATGTTTGGTTTGTTATAAAAGCACTTTTATGTTAATATTTTAAAAATATAATTTCTAATGAAGTTTATAAAACATTAACTGTGTAAAGGGGCAACCTTCTTCTAATTCCCATAGCAATGAGTACGGACGTGAAGATTAAAGCTATTTTGAACTCTTCATGTGGATCAAAGATATGTCATCCCAGATGACTATCCAGAAAGTTCTCAGTCCACCTTCACCATATCTCTCTAAGCAGATGTCTCCAAGGTGGAGAGTGAAATAGAGAACACAAAATCAAGAATGGAAGTACTCATTTCAAAATGCCCAATGCTAGCAGAGTTTGTGAGTGCTAACACCCGAACTCTTCCTCTATTTTACTGTAAGCTCCAGGAGGGCAGGGTTTTTTATTCTGTCGTTGTATCTCCACTTCCAAGACTATCAGGGGATGGCCACGAAATGCCTACTGAATGAGTGACTAAATAAATGCCCATTTTATTTTTATTTTTTATTTTTTTTAAATATTTTATTTATTTCTAGGAGAGAGAGAGAGATAGCGTGAGCAGGGGAGGGTCAGAGAGAGAGGGAGTCACAGACTGAAACAGGCTCCAGGCTCTGAGCTGGCAGTCAGCACAGAGCCCGACGTGGGGCTCGAACCCACGAACCGTGAGATCATGCCCTAAGCAAAAGTCGGACGCTTAACCGACTAAGCCACCCAGGCGCCCCAATAAATGCCCATTTTAGGAGGGCAGTTAAAGAGTTGGTTATTTCATTAATTGTTCCTCACTGGGATATCTATATTCGGTTCCAGTTTACAGGACACCATGCCATTACCTCTGCTCATCCGGTGATCATAAAGCACTGTCATTTTTACATACGTCTGTCTCCTCAAAAGGCCTATGACTTATTCAGAGCAAAATATGATTTTTATTCATATATTTTTTCCTTATATCCACAAAGCAACTATTTCACGAAATTCTGAACATAGTAAGTTGTTAAGAAATGTTTTATTCTTCTGGACCACTCCTTCTATTTTTCTTTAATTTTATTCATTTTTGAGAGAGAGATAGACTGCGAGTGGGGAAGGGGCAGTGAGAGAGGGAGATGCAGAATCCAAAGCAGGTTCCAGACTCTGAGCTGTCAGCACAGAGCCCGATGTGAGGCTTGAACCCATGAGAGGTGAGATCATGACCTGAGCTGAAGTTGGACGCTCAACCGACTGAGCCACCCAGGCGCCCCTGGACCACTCCTTGTAATAGCATGACTCCAACAGTTATTTGATCACACAAATAAAGGACTCATTGATTCTACTACCCATTCACCATTCCTCTGATGTCACTTTTGATCCCATGCTCATCTTAAATCCTGTGGTATATTATAATCATTCTCACTCTTTTGCATACACCCTCCACTTATTTTTCTCACTTCTCTTTGAAATGCTCATCTACACTCTATGCACTTCTCCAGGGGTTCCTTTCCACTTGCAAGATTTTATTTTTATTTATTTATTTTATTAAAAAATATTTTTAAATGTCTTATTTATTTCTGAGAGAGAGAGAGACAGCGTGAGCAGGGGAGGGTCAGAGAGAGAGGGTGACACAGAATCCAAAACAGGCTCCAGGCTCTGAGCTAGCTGTCAGTACAGAGCACGACGCAGGACTCGAACCCATAAACAATGAGACCATGACCTGAGCCAAAGTCGGACGCCCAACCTACTGAGCCACCCAGGCGCCTCTCTACTTGTAAGGTTTTAAATACCATATGTGTATTTAATGCCTCAGTAATGACTCCAAAATTTATGTATCTAGACTGAACTTTTCCCCTGAAATTTGAACTCCTATATCTGATTGCCTTTTCTATGTCTCCACTAGGGTGGCTATGGTCATCTCAAACATAACATGTCTAGTATTGAACTTATTCTGTATCCCCACCCCAAATCTGCTTCTCCAGCAATCTTCCCCATCTCAGAAAATTGCAATTCCATCCTTCCAGTTACTTGGTTCAATCATGATTCCCTTTTTTCTCTTATGCCCAATTTCTAATTCTTTAGGCAGTCTTGCTGCAACTAACTGTCAAAATATACCCATTATCCAAACTTTTCTCTTTACTGACATTGCTATAATCTTGATCTAAGCCACTGTTATCTCTTACCTAAGTATGCATGTGCCTCCTCCCTTGCTACCTCCCACCTTTCCACACTCCAGCTCTGAATATGACATTGGAATGATCCTATTAAAACTTAAGTTAAATCGTGCCACTCCTCTAATCAAAACCCTGCAATAACTTCCCATCTCATCCAGAGTTAATCTGGCTACTTGTCACCTCTCTGACCTTACCACATACATCTTTCCTCTCTCGCTCATTTTACTGCAGCCACAATTGGACCGATTCCACTTGCATGGAGGGAATAAAGGTTTAGCTTAAATTGAACCTACACTGATATATGTGAGGAGATAAATTAGTCTTCAACACAACTGGAGTTGTGCTGAGTTTTACCTATAAGGAAGGCATATACCAATAAGACTTCTGGCAGCCATTTCAGAAACTTTTTTTTCAGAGGCTACAAAATTCTTTGACTTTATGAGAATTATGTTTCTCAATCTAAGAGCATGATTAGATCAATCTAGGAGGTCTGTACACATCTTTTTATTTTACTGATTTCTGTGTGTGTGTGTGTGTGTGTGTGTGTGTGTATGAAACATTTTTATTAAGGTAAAGTACTTTTTTAAAAAGAAAAGCGTTACACTTAGTTCCTGGAAGTTGATTAATTAAAATTTGGAACTGTTAACTCTAATTATTGATTTGTTTGGTTTAGGCCATCATTTTCAATCACAGAAGAATTCATCTTGAGATTCAATCAAACAAAAAATCCAAAGGAGAAGGAAGAATTGCTGGACCTAGCTAGAAAAAATATTCTCAGATGTAAGGTAATAGTATGCTATTTGATTACTTAATAGATGGACTTTCTATTCTAGTTGGTGGGTGGTTACATGTTCCAAAATATTGAAAAGAAAAATAAGAAATGCTTTTTTAAAATTTTAAGTAAGCATAGTTAAAGACACTAATGCAAAGTAAAGTAAAGCTTATAGTCAAATGGATTTTTAGGTGGAGACTCTCCATAAGTTATTGAGAAATATAGCTGTTGACACTTGACCAAGGGCTAACCACAAAATATGAAAGGCAGGTAAATAGATTTTTAATTATGAATATTCCACTTTTTCCTATAAAAAGGTTGACTGAGATATGATATGTCCTAAAGAAGAAGGGAAGATTTCCTAAACCTTCACTGTACATGCATGGAATACTCTGTTCTTTCTCTGTAACGAACTATTCACCTAACTTGTAGAAAAAACATTCTTTAAGAGTATGCCATTAATTTCCAGATTTTCAAACAAATATCAAAACAGAACAAAAAGTGAAATAAGTCTTTGTTTTGCTTTTCTTACATTAGATCCAATTTGTTTGGAGAAGAACTAATATACATATGATTTTGCTTTAATGCAAAAAAATCATAAAATAAAAGTTGTATAAAACTGAAGCATAAATTAAGCCATCTTTTTTGTTGTTGTGGTGGTGGTTATTTCCTAGTCTTTCAGTTCACTGTTGCTCATATATTTTAAAATTAAAAAAAATGTGAATAGAAAAATAATACACTTCATTCTGAGAGGTGCTAGCAGGTAATTCATCTGTGAGCTTCTCTCCAATTGGCCAACTGCCCCCTGGGGCAGCTCTAGAAGTGGGCCCATTAAGAAAAGGCTGGTAATCTTGGTATCTATCTTATGTTCACTAATCTCAGTCCATTCACAGTGAAGTAGCCAAAGTTTTCCCGCAAACTGGCTTCAAACTACTTTCTGTCAAATCACATTTATTCAATATACTTTTCCTTCTAGAATCAGAGATGCTTTCTCTCGGTGGGGAAATGAGATAGAAGTAATCCTTAGAAGTAAAGAATGAGAATTATTTCTAGCAAATTAATGATATACCTCAGAATATTAGCAAACATTCCTTACATTTTATCACTAATACAATTTACAGAAAATGTCAAAAATACAAATAAGAAAAGCAAAAAACAAGTTTTGTACATCTCTGGCTGTAGAGCATAGCCTCATAGAGTGACTTTCAGAATATAATTAGATAAATAAACAAATAAATACATTTGTAAGAAGCTGTACATTTTGGTTTGCCTTTTTCATGCTTTCCCATAACAGAGAAAATTGGGTCTCAAAACCTTGGGCTCTGGAAAGCATGTTCATCTTCCTACTGCATGGATGGAAGTAATATATCTGGCTCAATGCAAAGGAGAAATCCAAGATGGTATGTGCTTTAACTAAGCTCTTTTTAGTTTCCTTGAGTGTTTTCTAGATTAGCAGAGAAGGCATAATTTGTGAACCTTAATATTTAAAAACTATGCAGGAGCCAAGGAAAATTTGCCTTTCTCTATCAAAATATCTGGTAATGTTTCATTAGAAAAGCTCCTTTTGTAATTTTGAATTCATGAATTTGACTGTTCAACTTTTTAATCACAAGATTGTTTTAAAAACTTTTGTTCAGCAGTCTTCATTACTTTTTTTTAAATTAGTAACTAATTAAAAAGTAACATAAAATGTCATTTAGTGATTTTCAATTACAATAGGCACTATACTTTAGAGAAACTTGTTTTGGCATTTTATAGTTCTTACTCATAAAATGTTAACCAAATGGTCATTTGTTTTACACCTATTTTAAACAGCCATTTTACTCATTACCTTTTCATTTATCACTTCTCATTTATATGTCTCCTTACAAAACATCCTCCAACCAATCTAAAAAAGAAATTAAAAAACATTATTTTTAAGGAGGTAAAATTCCTCCTATTGTTATCCTAAATCTTATGTGTATGCCTTTCAAAATGAGTTTTAGAATGTTAACCATATGAGGTCAGAGAGTATTTCCCTATGTAAATTGGGTTTTGTAGTGCTATCCAGGACCTTTCAAGCAACAGGAAGAGTAAGAACAATTCTGTGTTTAACCTATCTATATGGCACTTCATGACAGTGCTATCCAAACCTTGACCTCTAGTAAATGTTTAAATGATATTGAAGTAAACAACCCTGGTTTATCACCAACCAGAAGCTACTTACTTTTCTTTGTCCATTAAACCTGTTTTGTTCAGGTATCCTTCAGTCACGTGATTCAGAAGACTAGATCCTTCCCAGCCTGAGCATCAGATGGAGGTCATGGTTGTTCTAAACTAATCATGACCATTCCCTTTTACTTCCCAGTGATTAGATGATCTGATTAGGGATGGTCACATGACCTGATCCTGCCCAGAGATATAAAAATAGGTCTCTTTGGAGGACTTTTTTTGAACTGCTTTTGAAAAAAATATGCCTAAGGAGAAAGCACCTCTTCCCTTCTTATACCTTTTGATTCCCCTCTAAATGAGTTGGTAAGAAAAAAAAGTGCATGGAGCTTGTGTGGTCATCGCAGTCAGCATGTATATCAGAGACACTAGAAGATAAAAGAACATGCATACCCCGGGCAGTTAGATGAGTCAGCCCTACAGTCTTTCCAACTATGATCTTGGGAAATAACAAGCATATTTTGAAGACACTTCTTTATATTCCCTATTACACACAGTCAAAAGCTTTTTCTCTCATCAAGATATTGAACTCCAGATAAAAACCCTAAGTATGAATTCCCCTTACCAGCTCCACAACTGAAAACCCTCCATTGCTGTTCCTCATTCTATAGTCCATCCACCCTCAATGCAGCAGTGACCATTCTAAAGCTTAAATAATTTCTAATGCCTTTTGATTACACTTAAAATAAGCCCCCAACTACAAGGTTTGTTATGATCTGGCTCCTGGCTGCCTTCCCTACAGCTCCAGCTGTACTGTTCTCCTTCTTATTCCTTGGATATGTCAGGGCCTTTTCTTACTCAAGTCCCTGCATTTACTGTTCTTTTCAGATATCATGACACCTCTTCAAAATCTTTGTAATAACTTGAGGCGTAATTTTCTCTGGGGCCTTAGCAGTATATTCTTCCTCATTCACCTCCCCTGAGTCCTATTTCCTCTGCTTCGACTTCCTAGTTTTTCACTCTTTATAGTACTTATCTTTAGCACTATCTTTTGTTATCTAGTTCTGTCCCATTTCCCCACCATTATTTGTGTGTCCTGGTGATCTATTTTGTGTTGGCTTGAACAGCTGGAGCTCCTTGGGCATTTCTCTGTCCCTCTTCTATCTCTATCTCTGTAGTTTCTCCAGCTTAATGACTTGTGAGTGATTAAGACTTCCTACATGGCTGCTTAGGGTTCAAAAGCTAGCATCTTGAAAAAGAGATTGGAGTGGCAGCTGTATTGCCTTTTCTGATCTCGATTTGGAAGCCATGCTGCTGCGTTCTATTGGTTGAAGCAGTCACAGACCTACTCAGGTTCAATAGATGAAATAAAAGGGGTGAAAAGGGGAAAGGGGTGTAGACTTCACCTCTTGATGGGAGGGGGTGTCAAAGAATTTGTAAATATTTTAAAATCACAATCTGGTTTTGGCAACAGCAAATAGTTAATTGTAAGACTTAATTGTAGCATGCAGACAAACAGCATGCTTTATGAATGATGATGTTTCTACCTTTTAATATTTCAGAAGCTTTAAATATGCTTTATGCCTCCCTGGACCATGCTTCCTTTGATTATAATCATCTGCCTGTATTATTTTTTGTTGCGGAATCAGTTTTATATAGACTCTGTTGTGATGCATTCCAAAAGGCATACTTATATTCAGTTGAAATAAAGCTGGCAAAGGTATGTTTTAAAATATTTTTAATGTGTTTTAATTGCTGCACATACTACATGTGGTCACATGACACCTGTTTTAGGATCTAAACAGACCATTTGGTTTTATTATGGAATATTCTCTTTGGTAATTTATTTTAATCTTTTCTAAATGTGGATAATAAATTATTACTTGATATCCAAACGGAGATAGTTTGAGGACATATAATTTCACCAACTATGTAAGAAAAATAATGTTTAATTAAAATCAAGTCAATATTTATGTCTAAATATACATAGCTTTTTTCGTTCTATTTTAAGGATTTTTAAATGCTCCTTTCCATTTTAAAATACCAACCACTTTAGATCGTTGCCCAATTTGAGAAGGCGAGTTCTTCTCTCAGTATTCTGTCATTTAGAGCCATAAGATGGGAAACTATCTTCATGCGCTTCATGTCTTAACAGGTCCTGGATGTCATACGGGTCTATTCCCTTTGATGTTTATGGTTGCCTGCTGTAAAATTTATTAGTCAAAAACACATAGCTTAACTGGTAGTTTTATTGCAAAGAAAATAAAGAAAAGCTAGGAGAAGAAATTCTTAAGAGTAAATATATTTATTTAGAATATGATATTTTAAGAATTACTTGCAAAAATTATTATTATTTGCCAAGATAATTTCTCGTTCAGTTTTGACTATTAACTGTAGAAATCAACCATGAAAATATTAATAAATTAGCCAGGGCACTTTTGGAAGATATGATATTTCAGTCCTTAAAAATCAAGCCTAGATCCTCTCTGACATGTTTGGGGATAAAAGACTTAAGGAGACCAGGTGAGATTCAGAGAGCACATAATAGAAATTGAATGTGGAAAAAACTGAGGTTTTGCATAGAAGGACTGGGAGAAGAGAGACAAGATGTTACCAATGACTGTCTTTGGGTGATAAGATTATGATGACTATCATCTTTCTTTTTCCTCTGTTCCCCAAACTGCCCATTATGGAGCCATATAAAAATTATATAAATATTAAAGAGATTTAAAAAGATATCTACATCTCTATATATTTTATAATGGAAAAAGAATGGAAGGAGAAACATAGAGCAAGTCTGGCTTTTCTTCCCTTTTCTTCTCATCCCCTTTAGCGACATATTCCATTCTGTTACCTTTTATATCTTTGCTAGCAATAAATAACTATGAAATAAAGTTTTAGCCATTGTACAAATTGCTTATAATTCATATATACTATGTCATTTATTTTAAAAAATATTCCTGCATCTTCTCCTCTGACAGTTTAGACAATTTGCACGGTTTCATATAACCGCAGTGAACACTTGGACAGAACTTGAACAATGATCAATGCTTTAGATGTATTAGACATATTAACTTATTTAATCTTTATAACAATTCTAAAAGGTAGGTGCTATTATTAGCCATTATTTTACAGACTGTGGCATAGAGAGTCTAAGTGAATTATTCAAGGCCTCAGCAGAGAAGATTTTGAACCCCAGAGTCCACTCTCAGTCATAATGCTGTACATTTACTTGGCTCTCAGATTTACTAATTTTAAAGCTTACTCTTTATTCTTCTAGATAATATAAATGAGCTAGTGAAAATAAGCATGCTCTATAAGCACCTTTGATTTCAGGCAAGAAACCATTTCAGTTATCCTTCTCTCTCTTTGTAGAATTTTCATTATATATCTGACAGTCAGTTGGAAACCTCTCTTTTGATCTCTTCTCTTTGACAGTATGCTATACTGAAAGGTATTGCCAGGGAAGCGTCCCCACCTTCATATGAACCATTTTGTTGTTAAATAATATTTGGCCCAGTGTTGGGAAGATCCAGAAATATTTGATCCCATGGTATTATTTACTTTCAGATTTTGTGTGCATTCTTTCCTTGTTATTTATCTCTGAGGGTAGAATTATCTGAAGTGTCGAAGCCTACTTACTGAAGTATGGAGAATAACATATAAGCAACACTAGTTTAATACAGTTTAGATACAAATATAAAGTGTTCTTCAATCTTCTATAAAAACATGAAACACATAACCAACTATTAAAATATAGCACATAATAAATATTATTCAGTATATCTGTTTCACAGATAATAGAATCAGAGTAATGAAGAGAAGTGATGGAAAGAGAAGGAAAGAAGGGGAATAAGGAGTAAAGGAAGGAAAGACGGGAGAGCTAAGAAAGAGAAAATGACAAGCAGAGATTCAGCCTAGGAGGCAAAACTCGAGCTGTCAAGCTACAGAATATGTCCACACCTGAGACATGAGGAAAGATGCACAGAAGGTCCCAGTATATTTTAGAGGTATAGAAAGGCAGATTTTTAAATAAAAATTTAGCCTTTCAGAATATTAGAGATGAAAGCTTTTCAAATAATTTTTGCAAGCATAGTTATTACTAGGGCTAGCCCTGGGTCAGGTGAAACTCATGACCAGATTGGGGTATAATACAGTGATTATTCAAACCGATCTGGTTTTCATGTTTTTTTGATTTTCTCTGACATGAAATTTTTGAACATTAATTTTTTCTAATATCCGTCTCTATTTCCTTGCTAATTATTTTCATTATTTTTTCATTCATTGCCTATAACAATATGTATTTTTGATTTTAATACTCTCACTTAGAATACCGCAGTGTTCTTTTAAATGATTTGACAATTTCCACTCCCTAAGGTCAATCTCTTAGAGAAGTACAGTACTATACCAAAGTGCTCTTTATGAAGAGATTCCTTTGATATGCTTTATACACATTTTCGTTTTATTTTTTAAGCCTATAAATGATGCGTGTTTATAATTTATAGATAACATTCATAAATACTTATGGTGCATTATCAGAATTTATTTTATCAATAGAATTTTGTGATAAAAATATTTGGAAATCACAGCTATGACAGAAAGTTCATGACTTTTGTGCAATACATAGACTTGGGTTCAAAGCCCAGTGTTGCCAGTTATCTGTTAAATTGTCTTGGTTTGAATCACTGACACTTCGTAGATTCAACTTTTTCATTTTCTTATTATTTTTTTACATGTGGGTATGACAATAGCCTGCATCATTGTTAAGAGGATTTGGACTACATATATCTTAACAGTGATACTATTTTATTTGTTTTCTCCCCCCCAATCTTATGACTTAGCAGTTTAGGAGTTTGTGTTCCATTTATTTCTATCATTTGTGGGGGTTTTCTCTTATTTTTTTGTGAAAACTTGCATATCATATATTTTTGCAAATATTCCATTTCCCATATTCTATGTCAAACAAACTTGCTATAAAGGAAACTTCGTGGAGGTAAGATAGCAGTGTTTATTTAGCAATTATTTCTTTTTTCAATAGAGAATTAGAATCTTAGTGTGGCGTAGTGTGCATCAGCAGAATATTTCTCAAAACTATCTAAAGTAATGTTTTTTAAACTGTTTTGGCTGAGACTCATGGAAAGAAATATCTTCTGCATTGCGATCCAACACACACATAATACACACTGATTTATACACTGAACTGTGCAATGTACTATGGTATCTTCTTTTCTCTTTTATTTTGTTTAAAAATCCCCTCTCTGTTGATTTCATGAGTCACTTAAGGGGCATGACTTGCAATTTGAAAAATACTGTTCTATAGGACATAGAACAAAATGGCAGTTAGTATTGGTCATTATATATAATGTAGAGATGATTTATAAAAGTCTTTTGGCTGAACCAGTATTTCAATCTTGATATAAATTTTTAAAGTTATTTCAAAAGCACATAATCTCAAGTGAGTTTGAAATTGTTTCATCAAAGCAAATGTAACAGTAAAATGGTTTATTTTCCTTATGGTTTTCAAACATTTATTGATGCAACACAAAAATACTTTTTTCTTTTTCTTTTGACAGATTGGCTATTTGGTCTTTTTACGACTTTTTATATATTTCCTGCATGGACACCTAGGAAGTTTTAAACAACATTTACTTAGACTTCAACCATATTTATACGGTAGACCTTTATTTTCTACACTTATAAATGTTTTATGTTATAGTTTGAGAAGCTCAGACTATCACTATAAAGAACATAAGCTGTATTTTATTTTTCATGAAAGGTAATAGGTACAGTATTGCAGAATACAGCTTCTGGGCCAGACTGCATGTGTTTTAACTTTCTTACTTAAGTACATGACCTTGTGTGTGACTCAGTTCTCTTATCTGTAATAGTGTCCACCTTTCTAGATATCAAGAAAGTTAATTTTATATTTTAGTGAGGTAACACTAGTGGCAATGTAGATGCTGAACTGGAGTAAAGGGATGGGCATCAGTTAGCTCTGGCATTAGTTGGGCAGGAGATGTTAAAGATTATGAAATTTTAAAATAGGAATGAGATATATTGATCACCCAGTTGGATCTAGACTGTATATAAGGGAAAATGAGGAATTCAGGAGAAATTTTAAATTTTACACATTGACAAATAGGTTCAGGATAATGGGGGTACTCTAAACAAAAAATTTTGGAAAAACACTGGACATACTGAATTTTAAAGGTCACTCAGGTATGTGTATCCTGTGAGCAGTTGGAAATATAGACTTGGAACAAGGGAAATAAATTAAGTTGTAATTCACTTATTTCCTGGATATTAATTTAGATAATTTGGCAGTCATCCATGTTAACATGACTGAAATAACCTGGGGGTGGGAGGTGGTGGTGGGGAGAAATTAATTCTAGGAATATGCTTGAGGAACATTAATATTTAGTAGATTATTGGGGTGATACACATTAGTACAGGGAAATAAGAAGGAAGTGATGACATAGAAATCCAAAGAGGGGAGGTTCAAGATTAACATTATCAAGAGCTATTGAAATATTAAATGGTAGGAGGTCTGAAAGGTGGTGGCATTCTGTAAGCATAAAGTCACTGTTGATCTTGGGAGCATTCCCAGTGGAGAGGTGGAAGCAAAATTCAGATTGGAGGAAAATAAAGAGTGAAGGGAAAGTTTAAGCATGAGATAGAGATAGTGAACTATTACAAAAAGAAAGAGAGATATGTTAATAGTTTGGATGAAAAAGCAAGGTCAAAAGACAGTTTTTGCTTCTTCCTTTCCAATTTGGATGTCTTTTATAAATATGTTAACTGTGGCCTTGTCTTATGTGGCATTTATTATGTTGAGTTATGTTCCCTCTATACCTGCTTTGTTGAGAATTTTTAAAATCATAAATGGATGTTAAATTTTGTCCAATGCTTTTTCTGCATTTATTGAGATGATCATATGATTTTTAGCCTTCATTTTGTTAATGTGGCATATCGCATTGACTGATCTGGGGATGTTGAACCATCTTTGTATCTCTGGAATAAATCCCACTCCATCTTGGTATGTGATCCTTTATGTATTGATGAATTTGATTTGCTAATATTTTGTTGAGGATTTTTGGATATATGTTCATCAGGGATATTGGCGTGTAATTTTCTTTTCTTGTGACATCCTTGTCTGATTTTGGTAGGGTAATGTTGGCCTTGTAAAATAAGTTTAGAGTTCCTTTCTCTTCGATATATTTTGGAAGAGTTTGAAAAGGTTTGGTATCCTTTTTGAATATTTGGTAGAATTCATCAGTGAAGCTGTCTAGTCTTTGTTGGGAGGTTTTTGAATACTGATTCAATCTCCTTACCAATAATAGTTTATTCATATTTTCTATTTCATCTTGGTTCAATCTTGGTAGGTTGTATGGTTCTAGTAATTTATCCATTTCTTCTCACTTATCTAATTTGCTGCTATATAAGTGTTCATAGTAGTCTCTTAGGATCCTTTGTATTTCTATAGTAGCATCTTCTTTTAGTTCTAATTTTATTTATTGGAGTCCTCTTTTTTTTTTTCTTGATGAGTCTTGTCGATTTATCTTTTCAAAAAACTCTTTTTAAAAAATTTTAAATAAACTTTTTAGTTTAAGCGGATTGAATTTTAAAAAACAAGGTCAAAAGCAGAAAAGATTAGTATGTTGTAGGGTAAGAGAGTAAGAGACTCAAGATATAAGAAAGGGGATGTTTGTAGAAAAAGTCATGGAAGAGGGAATAGAAGGTAATGGTGCAAGTGTTTTGGAGAATGACCAATATGCACCACTACTACCAATCCTGACTGGGTATAAAATCAAGGCAAGGCTGTAGACTAGCAGAGTAAGAATTCCTATCTTTAGTATCACTTGTTTTGATTTCTTCATATATTATAAAGCCTCTTTCAGCCCTTCACTGTGTTCAGCATAGTGACTCAACAAATAATCAGATGATGGTGACAAATAAATTTTGAAAAACTATTTGAATAAATCCTCAAGTTCTCACATTAGCTTGTTCTTGTAGGTATATCCAGAGAAAACCAACATCTTTGTTTCATATAAGGATAAAAGCCCCAGATTTTGCCTTCCTATCAAATGCTGTTAAGTAGAGCCTTACGTATGCCACATCTCTGTCTTCAACAACAGAGTGATTTCTACCAGGGCCATTAGCAACTGCTTCGTGTTTATGTAGCCCTCCAGTAGAAGAGTAGTTATTACTAATTTTTCCACCATCAATAGATTGAAACTCAAAAATTGTCCAGGAATTTATAAAAAGAACAGCATAAAGATGGTTCTGTTAAATACCAACATAGTGTTATGTTAAATGATAATAATTGTTGCCATATTTAAAAAATATTTTTAAAAACATCAACAACAATACCAACTTGAAAAGCAATAAAACTGGAGAATGTAGGGTTAAAAGCAATGACTTGGTTTGTTTGTAGGATTACAGTTTCAAAGTATCCATTATGAATAGAGTATCTGTTATAAATTGATTTATTTTCACCTAGAAATTTCCAAGTATTGTTGTATGGTAACTGTACTTAATTGGGTGTTCAACCATTATACAATTGCTGTTCTGAATTATGAGCTCTTGTGTATTAATTACTTACCTTGTAGTTTTGTATTATACCACCAGGGGTCATACATAATATTAGAAATCTTGAAGAGATAGGGAAATGAATAGCAGTTTCAGCATCTTCGTACTAAATTTAATTATACTTTAGTAATAAAAAAAGGAACATAATGTAAGATATTAATGACATATTTATCACAAATTATTTTTCTTACAATAGCACTTTCTTTCTCTGGAGAGTCATATTACAAGTATCCAAACATCTTGTCAAATATTCAATTCATTCTGAAAACCATGGAAATAATATGTAAAAGAGAATTCCCTTCTGGATCAATTTTTAGCACTGTAGAAAACAAGGAAAGCAGTAAGAACATAGATTCGGATATGGTGAGTATATCCTAGTATATAAAGAATCAGATAGCATATGATTAAATAATTGTGCTTGCCATACAGTAGCACTGTTGAAGATGAGTTTAGCTGGGGGTGGGGCCGGGGAGAGGAATAAACAGCAAAAACACTAAGCCATATGCACATTTTCTGGACAGTAGCTAATAGGATTAGTAGGCATCAATATGCACCACTACTACTTTAAATAGTAGTCATATTACCTTTTCCCTTATAGATTTCATCTCAGCAATTTAACTGGAAATTGCAATGTAATTTAGATTAACTTATAAATGAGAATTTTAAGATATTACATTTATATTAAAAGGAAAGTACATAAAGTACAGGCTATTAATGAGAGCAATTGTACTATTTTATGCTTCCATAATTCATATGTAATGACATTTAAAATACTATTAAAATTAACTGCAATGTAGTTAAATAGTTCAAAATTGAGGAAATAAAATAATTCCTAGTATATGAATTTTCTTTTTAATTTCTAATGTCGACATTAGTGTTCAACATTAGAGAAAACTCCCAATCATATGATTGCTTGGTATGTAATAAACGATGTATTATGCCAACAGAACTATAGTGAACCATATAATTTGTTCGTATGTGTTATAGGCTGATGTTAAAGCCTGATCTCCTTTTCTCACGTATACTCCAAGGAAAGCAGTGAATACTTTGAAACCTTGATTCTTTTGTTATTTTATTTTTTGTTGCATAGACTTATTATTTCATAGTTTACAAACAGAAAATTGGTCTTACTAATAATTTCTTAAAAAGGAAAAAATACATTTAACATAAGAGAAGTTGAAACCACTAAAAAAATTTAAGAAAGATTATTTTTTCAAATAGTTATATTATGAGTTGCCTTACAATTTTCCCGTGATTCCCTTGGGCCCTTTCTACAGTTTTGTTTGTTTGTTTGTTTGTTTTTGTTTTTTGTTTTTTTAAGAGAGTAAAGTTTATTTAGAGAGAGAGAGAGAGAGTGTGTGTGTGTGTGTGTCCATGTGCAGGTACATGCTCACAGAGGGGAGGGGCAGAGAGAGTGGGAGAAGAGACTCCCAAGCAGGCTTCCCACTGACAGCGCAGAGCCCAATGTGGGACTCGATCTCAGGAACCATGAGATCATGACCTGAGCTGAAATCAAATGTCAGACACTTAACTGACTGAGCCACCCAGGTGCTTCTCCCTTGGGCCCTTTCTAAAACCAAGTAAAATATACGTATTTAAGGAAACACATTTAACTACATCTGTATGTCATCATTCTAGGCTCTAGTGTTGCTGAATCATTGACATAGAGTGACATATGCTAAGTAATTTGAATCTTTTGGGTATAATTACTAATGAACATCAATTACTTCGTGCACAAAAGGGATCTTGTTTTTAAGTTTAAAAATGTTTTAACAATAAATATATAATCTAAGATACTGAACAAGAGTAAGAACACTGATCATGAAGAGTTAAGACCTGCTAGCAACTGACTGATCCAGAGGAGAGGTCCATTGGGCTCTCTACATCCCCAACTGCTTATCTTTAAACAAGACATCATCACCATCATCACCATCACCATCACCACCACCATCATCAAATTCACCCTAACTAATCTATGGAGTTGTAAAGATTGCAAAAAGGCATGTGTCTTGTAAATTAATGAAAATGTAAACAATGATTATTAACATTATATTTAGGAACTCACTTTAACTTAGGCAGTTAAGTATAATAATTTTCATCTAAGGGCATGATTCTGCTGACTAAATAATTGCTTTACAATGTGGTTAATTGTGCTTAATGTAGTGATTTTTGAGTGTTTTCGCCTAAAAAAAACAAGGTCGTGAAATCTTGACAACATGAGTGCTCTGGTTAGGAAGCAAGCAGCCTTCAATGTTGATTCTGCTTCTCTTTAAGAACCTATCTGTTCTTGCCACTCTTGGTGCACAAATGCCACAAGGAAATGGAAGTTTACCGCGGTACAGCTTTGCCTGAACTGGAAGGAGCAAGGTGTCAACACATGAAAAAAATGTAACTGCTGAGTCACTAAGTCTTTGTTCCTTTTTCGACAAAGAAGAAAGAGCTTTGTTTCAGTCTTTTCTATGTTCTATTTCAGCTCGATAACTGTGATTCTCTGAGGGCATTAGAACAGCTTTTATCCTGTTAGATTTAGTCCCTCCTTTTCCCCCTCCGAGTGCCACCTCATATAAAGATTATAAAAAGTAGTGTAGCCACAGTGCTACTACAACTTCTGGTTCAGCTAACTGATTCAATTGTTTGGATTGATTGGATGTTTGAATATTGTTCCCCAGTTTCAGCCCAATGTCTTCAGTATAGCTTTGTCTAAGTCAGCCCCTCCAGTTCAGCTGAGTACTTATCCATTCAATACCCATCTCTCTCACCTACTGTGAGAAGACAGGGGAAACGGAGAGGAAAATGGGAATATAAACAATACATCTGTATTTGACCTTCTCCCTTCTTTGTTACTGGCATGCTATTGCAGACAGCCCTCATCTTCCAATAATGCTAAAAGGTCCATGCCAGCGTGTTTTGGTCACTGCAAAATATTTTGTTTTTAATATATTTATAAGCATTGGAATAAAAGCATATTTAATTTGTTTTCCAAGTACTACTATAAAACTGCTGAAAAACTAAAGAATTTTGTAGGATATGCGCATTATCTACATTATGTAAGAGTATATAAGTGTATTACATACACTATATAAGAATTGGGAAGTCCCCCTCCCTGCTACTAGAACCCATTTCTCCTTTTAATGTCCTTTTAAGCTGATTCTGACACAAGGTTCCCATTGACTTTGACAAATGGTGCACTTTAATTAGCTCTGTGGCTTGCAGAGCCAGAAGAGGATTGAGTTCTCTGTCTTTTGCTCACTAGCAGAGCTGAATTTGCTGAGTACAACTGTCACATGATAATAACAACATAGTTTTCTGGACATGGTAGATTAAAACTCAACCGAAATGCAGTAGACCTGTTACTAAATAGTTGTAGCTGTCCTAAAGTACAAATAGTTTTCTGAAAACTAGGAAAGACACAGCGTTTACATTCACATGTGATTAGAAATCTCATCCATTAATGTACTTGGTAAGCCAACATTATCATATTTGGACATTTTGTGCTATACTATAGTTGTGCATGGTTAATAGGAAATGGGTTAGATTGAGACACAGGTTCTTTAAAATTAGGAGCATTATCTTATGATTCATTCCTATTATCGAAGTAGAACATTTGTGTTGAGAGGTCCTTTCATGGGAGTGTCAACCATTCACCAAATGACTGAAAGCAGGGATGTAACTGAAAAAGCTATCTCTGACCAGCTATAATACAGCCTATCCCTCAGAGCTCATTTCTGTTATAAAAGAGAGCCTGGCCAGACATTCAGAGCTTGTGTACTCAAATTTGCATAAAATTCAAGCTGATGTGTTTATCTGAAATTTCAGCCAGTGCTAGATTAACAGCACTTTTGTGGGTGTGCTTCTCAAAATAGGTATTGTACAGCTGCAACTGACCCACAAGCTGGCCCTGGGCAGTCTGAGGCTCCTCACCCCCTTCCCTGTCCTTGAAATCTATGTTCTGCTTGTTATGCCCAGATCACGATCTCCCCAAAATCCCAAGACCACCAAGGAGTCCGAGTCATGTATGCAAAAGCAAAGGGTGTTTATTCGGGCTTAAGCTAGGGCTCCCAGACCTCACTAACGCAGTGGATCCATGCTGAGAGCCCCGAACAAAGGCAGAGTAGGGTTTTTATGGGGTTTGTGATGGGGGAGTTACAGAAATTGTGGCATGGGAACAGTGATCCAATCATAATTATATGACATCATTGACAGCGGGTTTAACCATACACATTGTCTAGAGTATTCGTTACTTTTGGCGGGATCCAATTACAACATTTAGAGTGGGCTCACAGAGCGAGCCTAGGGTCTTGTTTGGCGACTAACGGGTTAACTTTAACTTTAGGTAACAGGGTCCTATCTATAGTTTCTATCTATAGGCCTCTCCCTTAGAAATGTGGAGGGTGATCACTGGCCTATCCTGATTGGGTGTAGCAAGGGTGGTTACTCCTGCCTTGGGCAATGTGTAACTGCCTGATAGTTTCAGGGAAGCTGAAACTTAGGCCTTCTAGTTTAGAGGGGAAACTTAAAGCCTGTCATGGAGTCAGTTTGGTTTAGACTTGTGTCCTTACATGCTCACTTGTCCCCACATCTGGAACCATTTTTAAGGATTCAGCCTTGAGAGAGCGGCCCATCTCCTTCTTTAATCTCTGCTGGACCTGTGTACAGGGTCCAGTTTGCAAATCAATATGGTCCAAAGCTGGGGAGCAAAGCAGCAAAACAGCTGCCCAGCTTTGGACTATGGAAGAGATGAAAGAACTATAGGAAGGGGTCATAAAACCAAGAAAAAAAGGAAAGAAGGAAGAGAGGAAGGAGGGAGGTAGGGAAGGGTGTAAAAAGAAAAAGTTCTCTGGTAGTCATTTAAGGCACTGCTCAGTGCTTCTCAATCTGTGTTAAAGAAAGAGCCCTCTCAACTTAAAAAAAATTTTTCAAACTATCACAGACTGATAAATTTATAAAGTACAATAATAATAAATTCCTGAAAATAAAACAAAAAAGTTATAAAAAGAGGAACACTAATTTTTTATCAGACTGAAAATATTTAAAATTAACTGTCAAATTGTTATAAATGTTTCTAAATATGTATTCTTTATTTCTGTACTGTAGTTAACAGTTTGCAGTTGGCACTTATTTGCTAGCCACACCTTGAATAGGACTGATTTAGTGTAAGGGCAGAGAACTCTGCACTACCTAATCCCTCCAAAAGCATTTCTCCCTCTCCTTCTACCATACTGATAATGTACATAGTGATTGTATTAAATCACTTCATCATCATTATTATATTATATTCATTCAAGTTTGGAAAATACATTTCTTCTTTTGAAAAAGCAAGGAAGAAACTTTAGCACGATTTCCACCCAAATGCTTGAACTTCATAAAATGCATGAAGATAAGTGATAAGCCTCACTAATCTGGACACTTCATGGGTGTGGCAGGTTTACTTGCTCTTCATGATGTGGATGCCCTTCAGCCAAAGGCCACCAGGGACACCTGCAGCTAAGCAAAGTGGGTTCATTACTTCTTGTAGAGAGAGCACACATACGCAAGGAATCAGGAGATATGGCAGTAAGAAGGTGTTACGATGGATCTATAATAGAATTTGGACTTTGGGTGATTTGGGGGAGGTTCTAAAGAGGCAGATTTGATACTGTCAGAAAGAAGGGGCTAATCTGTGATTGGGTATTTTGTAGGTGGCACCGTGATTTTTTTCTGTGCTTAGAAAATAAATTATCAAGTGGTTTTGTTTCTTATTTATTGTTGTCTCAGAATGATATTGTCCGAGGTTGATATTCTGTGAATTTATATCTAACATGAGAACCAAATGACCAGGCTATGAGTGTCAATCCAGACTGTAATAATATTGCTGTCAAATCAGCTCTGGACATCAGAGGCTGCTTTTTCTTTCTCAGGGATAAGTGAAAATGGTATCGTATAAAATTGAAAATAAAACATAAATCTTGTTCATTCTCTAAATTCTGACATTTGGGAGTTTTCTCTGGTGATAAGTGCATAAGTTTGTTAACAGTAATTTTGGACTTAACTTAATAGTCTATGGAAGCATGCAATGTACATGATTTTAAAAAAAACAAAAAGTATTGATTATTTTAAATTATTTAGTAAAGCCATTGACAAGTTTCAAAGCATAGCTGCTTACGTATTTATTCAGAATAAGTTTGCAACAGGAGGTCTGTCAGGCATCTGGGCTGAGACAGCAGTTTGAGAAAGGAATTTCATTTATAAGATTTTCACTTTTTGGGTAGGCTCTACTGCAAGGCAGAAAATTGAGTTATTTGGATTAACTGTGCGCATTTACTGAAGTCAGTACGTCTCAGTCTTATGTCTTACATTATTTTAAAATAAAGGTTTTTTTTGGAGTATTCTAATATTCTAAACATTGGCTTCTTTACATTTGCTTTTCTGAATGATTGTTCCCTACAGTCAGTAACCTTATGTAGAAGCTTTATCTTACTCATGACTTTTATCTCCAGTATCTGAGTGCCCAGCACTAAAGTAGATCAATGCATATCTGTGGGACTTAACTAAACAGTTTATTAGAAACTAGAAACTTAAAATATCTTAGTTTAAAATTTCAACTGGCCTTCTGGCCTTTCACTTAAGAGTACTTAATATGAAAATTATCTTTAAATTGTGGATTTATTGTTGTTTGTATAATAAATGAGAATTATAAAACCTTTTGGAGTCTTTTTAAGTGTTTCTTTTGGGCATACATTAAAGAATGAAATATCACCCGATATTATGTGTACATCACAAGATGTGTATTAGAATCTGTGTTGTTGCCAAAAATTCAATGAAAGTGCTATTTTATCGTTGTTTAACTATAAAATCAGGTTTCTTTTTACCAATTACTTTAGAAGACCAATTAAATCTATGAAACTGTTAGGAAGCACTTTAAGAAGAAACAAATAGGTAACAGCCCATTTTTCCCCCTGAATTTGTAGGCTTTTAAAATAGTTACTTAGCAGACATTAACCGTGTCTAGCTAGGCATATATATTTGGCCCCTTAGTGGAAATCCACATTTTAAAACCTGATTTGCTGTTTGAACATTGTTCAAACTTTCCCTTGTCCCCTCTGGGTATTAGGGAGAACTAAACTCATACAGGGTCTAAGAAGCACAGTTTTCTCTAATTGTATCTTAGAGGTTACAGGATTTCTGTCGTAGTGTAGAACTGATGTCCCTGAACACAAGGGACCCATGTGAAAATCAATAAATCATTAGGTTCAGGTTAACAATTGAAAGGAAGCAAAATTTATTGCTTCCAAATTTGCTTCTTTAGCATAAGGATAATTTTAGGCTGGATTTTTTTTTTTTTTTAATTTCTAGGAGAGAGAGAGAGACAGAGTGAGCAGGGGAGGGTCAGAGAGAGAGGGAGTCACAGACTGAAACAGGCTCCAGGCTCTGAGCTGGCAGTCAGCACAGAGCCCGATGCGGGGCTCGAACCCACGAACCGTGAGATCATGACCTAAGCGAAAGTCAGACGCCTAACCGACTAAGCCACCCAGGGGCTCCTAGGCTGGATATTTTTAAGAAATTGCAGACATAGGAGAAGCTGTGAAAACTGAGTAAAAGTTAGTCTTTTTGTAAGAGATATTTACATTTTAAGAGAACTCTCCTTTTGTAAGGTGTCTCCCTTTCTGCACCAGGAAGAGAAGGATGACTCTAGATATCTAGAAACTCTAATCAGTGGAGAAGCAATGACATATCTGCATATCAACCTTACCCTTGTTTGCTGTGCTTTTCCAGTTAACCTTCCATAGCTGCCCCTCCCCCCTTTATGTCTTCAGCTAGAGATGTGATATGAAGTGGTGGCTTGGGCCATTTTGAAGAGTATTCCTGGGTCTCTCCCATGTGTACCAGATGTATACATGTTATTAAACTTATGTTTGTTTTTCTCATGTTAATCTTTTTTATTACAGTTTGTGGGGAGGTCTCATCCAAGAACCTGGAAGACTAGGGGGAAATTATTTTTCCTTCTCCACATTGTATGTACTTACAAAACTATACTTGAGTAAATTGCTCTGTTTGGTGTAACATGAAGTTAAAGAAAATGATGCTTTTTCACTTGTATATTTTCATGTTTATTCAAATTAAATAACTCTTTTCCAGATATATTTTTATATTTTAATTCTAGGAACATTTGCTGATTTATCAGGAAGGACATGAAGTTAACCACCTGCTCTGGCACTGTGTGGCTGCCTGGTCATGTGTTCAGAAGAACAGTCCTCAGTTGAATAAGGTGCTTGAACATCTCATCTTTCATAAAATGCAGCTTCAAAAGAAATGCTGGTAAGGATTCTATAAATCCAAAGTAATTCATGGAGAAACCTTTGTGTTTAAATGTTAAATAGCCTTTGTACTTAAATGTTAATCACACCTTAGTTGACTATGAAAAAAATTTATGATCTCTATTCCAAAATGCTAGGGCAATTTATATATTTTGTATTAGTTCATTTCATCAATAAATTGTTCCTTTCTCTCTCATTTATTTTGCTAGTTTACATGCATGTATTGCATAGTTTATCTTTATCAAATGAAATTTGTTATCGATAAGGAGTGCATCTCCACACTTAAAACATCCTTTATTTTTTTAAGTTGTTAAACAACAACAGAGAGGTACAGTTTATTATCCTTGGAGGAAATATATTGAAAATCTGTTTCTTTATGCCTTACTTGTAGAGTATAACAAAAATCAATCTTGACTGATAAGTGTTAATTTCCTCCTGTACCTATATTAATTTGAGAAGGTAAAAGAAGTCTTAAATTACTACCAAGGAAGACACAGGTTCAATGGAGGGAAGAAGAATTTTTAAGGAGTATTTCTGAGGAAAGTGATCAGAGGAGATTTACCTTTTCAACATATGAGGACCGAGTTTTGAATTCCTTTTCCAATGCTAATCATAGTAGTAGTAGTAGTAGTAGTAGTAGTAATAATGTCATGACATAACAAGTTGCAAATTAAATCGTTATGTATTGTTCTTAAAATTAGTTCCTGTTTTTAAGTCTCTGGCTGCCAGCTCTACACCAAAGGTCTTTGTATGTGTAAATTCTAAGAATCTGGAGGTTTCTTTATGAGGGAAAGCTGTTTTCCTGGTTTCATTTGGATGTTTTTGGGATTCTAGATCAAGTAAAGATTTCTGGAAGATGGCTTAGATTTTGCTTAATTTACTAGAGATAGCCTAGTTCAGAAGACATTTCATCAATAACTTATTCTGTTTTGTCCTGTGATGGGAGAAATCTACTCAATTGCAGTTAACAAAGATTGTGATACTTTTATGTTTTAAACCTAAGGATAAAATCTTTAAATAGGAAAATTGCAAAGCAAATAGAATATAATTTCAATAAGTATATATTAATATAGAGCTGATGAATACAACAAAAATTAGAGATTCTTACCGGTACAAAGTAGGTTATGCTGAAAACCATGGTGATTTTTTTAGACCACTCTTACTATAGGAAATAAGTTGTTAGGGATTCAAATATACACTTTAGTTTTCAAAAAGGTCTAGAACTACTTTAACTCTTGGAAGGCTAACTTGATTTAAAAAATAAGAGAAATTACATTTTAACATATAAAAATAAATATTTCATTACTGTCACATTTATTTCAACATATTCTAATAACTATCAAATAAGCAAGCTTAAATAAATATTGAGATAGTAAAAGTGGCTGGTCAAAAGTAGCTAATTCTGAAAGTCAAGGAATTGTTTCCTTAAACCAATTTTCAGTTTTACTGTACTGCATCAACATTGATTTGTTAATGATTTGTCTTGTTAAACAAACAAACAAACAGACAGACAAACACACCACAGGCCTCAAATGGTGCACTTAGACTGAGTTCCCAAACTGGTGCATAATGCATAATCTAAGAGCAGTTTTAACGACCCCTGGAAATGTAGTGGTAAAAAGGTCAGCTAGGAATTTTTCAGTCTGTACCAATGAATCTGCCATTTGGATCCTCTCCATCCCCCTAAAAAAATGACATAATCTGCATGATAAGACACCTTGCTTTTCTCCCTAGAAAGCCCTGACATGAAACAATCTTTTTCTTTTGCTAATAATGAGCCTTCCTCCATAAAAACCTTCTAACCCTTTGGAGATCCCCTCTACTTGCTAGATAAGGTGCTGAATGATTTATGAATCATTTAATAAGCCAATTAGACCTTCAAATGTATTTGCTTGAAATCTTTTATTTAATAGTTTTTAAGATTTTTTTAATGTTTTTAAGTTTATTTATTTATTTTGGGGGGGAGGGGCAAGAGAGAGTGGGAGAGAAGGAGAATCCTAAGCAGGCTCTGCTCTGGCAGCACGGAGTCCCACTTGGGCTGAACCCACAAACTGCAAGATCATGTCCTAAGCAAAATGAAGAGTCAGACGCCCAACTGACTGAGCCACCCACGGGCCTTGGTAGTTAATTTTCTATACTTACTATTTTACAGATTTGAGGGCATTGGAGATCATACAAAAATATTCTTACAAATGGAGAAACCAAGGCCATGTTTATTAGGCTTACTAGTGACTGGAATGACATTTTTAGGGTCCCTGTGTAGCATGCTTCAGTACCTTATCCTGCTAACATTCTGGCAGCATGAGTAAGGAGAAAACTGCTTTGAGGCATCTTGTCATTGAATTCTGACTTCTCTTTTCCTGGGAAGACATGGTGGAGATTAAGTGAAGGAGGGAATGGCAGTGTTCAGACAATGCTGAATGAACAGAGGAGTACATTTTAAAAATGATGAAACATAGTAACTGCTTAAAATCAATAGAAGGGTTACTGCTGTGAAAAAACACTGCTAAATAATTTTGCATCCATTTTTTATATTTACTGTTTTTTTAAAGAGGTTTCAATATTTTTAAAAAATGATGACTCTAGTAAACAATAATCCATTTACATTAAAATATTTTTAATTTTTTAATGTTTACTTATTTTTGAGAGAAAAGAGAGATAGAACACAAACTGGGGAGGGGCAGAGAGAGAGGGAGAGAGAGAATCTGAAGCAGGCTCCAGGCTCTGAGCTGTCAGCACAGAGCCCAACTTGGGGCTCGAACTCACAGACCGTGAGATTGTGACTTGAACCAAAGTCGGTCGCTCAGCTGACTGAGCCACCCAGACACCCCTAAAAGATTAATTTTTAAGTTAGCAGTTGGACTATCTTCTGTTAGTCAAATTTTCTCTTGTAATGATAACATTCATTATGCCAAATATTAAAAGATTAATTTTTCTTCTTACAAAATATTTATTTATGTAATAGCCTATACAGCTATCAAGAGGTCATTATTCCTGATTTTAAAAAAAACAAACTGTGATGTAATTATGAAAATCAAACCAGATATGCTTTCCATTTCTAGAGAAACTTGAGTATTTGTCTTATATACTCCTAAGATTGGGTACATGTAAAAGTTTAAGAAAATGAACAATGTATTTAGCATGAAATAGAAATGTTGAGGCATCAGGTCTTGATAGTAAATTAAGACATTGTCAGGATTTGCTAGTCTGATAGCCTTGGAATTTTAACACTTGGTAGAAGATGAATTTGGGTTAGTACTTGAAATGCAATGCCAAGTGACTATTAAGAGGAGTAACCTGCACAATTTTGTTTGCTGCACATATCAGTAAAGTCACCATAATGGTGAATTAATGTTCAGAGATTTAAAATGCAGAAGGGAGACCATTCAACTGACTGATCAGAAGAAATTTGATTAATAGTGGCAAAAATTTTTTGTGCCCATATAAGTGAGTGATTCTCATCTGCCCATTTCTGATGCTGTCCATCAGTAAATAATTCTTCATTGTAGATCCCCACCTTGCTGCATACAGCCCCCTTTAAAAAGATCATACAATAGAGAAGAAAAGAAATAGAAGCAAGTGGTTTTGGCTGAACCTGAAAAAAAGCAGGCCTAGAATCCATGCAAGGACTCAGGGAAGACATCACAGAATTAGAGCAGGGAAAAAACTGAAGGGAGGAAATGCACTAAAGACAATAAATTATAAAACAGGGTGAAGAAGTAGAGAAAAATAGACTACATGAACCCTTCCTAGCTGTCATGCACCAGCCTTTATCTGGGAAGTGGAGCTGCCGTGAGTTGCAGATAAGCAGCTTGCTGTAAGGCAGATTTCCATTTAATATGGTTAAATTTTATATGATGCTTCATACTCTCAATGCTCCACCCTGCAGTTTGGCCTTTTATAAACTGCCCCATTTGCTCTGGGAAGATAGCTCAAGCCAGTGCAAAAGGCTTTCGAAACTAACATGAAAATAATGAATTGCATTTATAATTGAATTATTAGCCAATGAAGGCTGCTGAGAAGTGCAGTATGGCATTTCAGCGGAGCAGTATAACATATAAAATTATATCTCCCAAAGCAAAATAGCTGATTTAATGTGCTCCATGAATGTATTCCAAAAAAACTTGACAATTTAAAATTATATAGACAGGGCAAGTAGTTTCCAGAGGTATAGTATTTGTGTTTGCATTGAAATGAATCAGACAAAATAACTGCTTTGTATAGGTTGAAAGGTCTTCTGTCGAGATCACTGATGCCCCTATTGCCTATCTCCTGAACCCCAGTAATTAATGTTCATGGATCAGTCTGACCAAATACTTTTAAAGAAGAGTTTGTCAATAGTCTTCTGCCTTCTTCATGAGCTGAGATGATAGTATAGGTCCTCACTCTTCAAATTCATTTCCTGGATTTTTAAATTTAGACTTTGATCTTTTGGGCTACGTTTAACCATTTAGTATACCTCCAGGGTAACTGTGTAATTATGTTTTGCTATGTTATGGTGCACTAAAAAAATTCAACCTCAAATCAGAACACCGGAGTTTTAATCCTATCTCTTTCTACCAAATTTTGAATGACTTAACCCCTATGAACAGAGTCTGATTAGCAGATAAATAGAGACAGTAATCATCTCAGAGAGGTTTTGAGACATTTAAATAAGTAATGAGAATACTTTTTAGTATTTCTATTCTCCCCTAATACTTCATGCCCTACTAGTTCAGATCGAAATTATTTTTTTCCTAGAGAGGCTCCTGCCCACTGAATTTTGATCTCAATACATGACATATGTCCTCTTCTCAAGTTAACCAAATTGGACACCCTAACTGCTACATTTCAAAACTGTTTCCCTGCTCTCTCTACCTGCTCTGTCACAACCTTGGTTTAGGCCCTATTGTCTCATGACTCTTGTAGCATTTTAATTGGACTCTTTGCCTTAATTTTCCCATCAATAGTCTATCATACACTGCTTCCAGGGCTACAACATAACGTGACTAGACCACTCTC